AAAACTTTCGGGGTGCGAAAGAGACAGCAGAGCGGGGTAAACAAACGCGTACTTTAAAGTTTAAACAATTTAAAAGGCACTGCCTCAATAAATAAATGATTAATCTGCAAATATTTCCTTGGTTCCAATTTTAACTTTGCCTTTAACTTCCACACAAACCCGTACACACACATGCACAAATAGAGATACACACTTGAGTTGTTGTTGGGAGTTTTGGGCTATTGGAATTTCGAAAATCGAACTCCGAATTGAATGAACTGAAACACTCCAATTGGTTGAATTTCAACTAAATGCATTCTTTGTATTTTACCACTGCAAATAACGAGCCGCCCACGGAACTTAACACTAGAAAAATTCTAAAGATTCCTCAGCGGAAACACCAAATACAAAAGAACAACCGACAACAAGTAGAAAAAGAAAACAACAACAACAACAACTGCACGATCACTCCGCCAACGCAGCTGTGAGAAATGCACTAAGGCGTTTTTATCGGGGAAATATCGCACGAAGATTCTGGTATATACCAACATTAGCGATCTATCGCGATCATCTTTCTTTTTTCGGCGGCTCTTTTTTGTCAATTTAAAAAATGATTTCAATCTTTAATGTTACATTAATTTAAAATACAGTTATATCTACAAAAAAAACTATTAATACCACAGTTGGAAAATAAAATAATTGTCTGAAATAAACACAAATTTAATTCTTTGTAACTTTTAAACGTTCTTCTGATTGTTTTAAATCTTGTTTTTATTATAGTTATTAATTTTTTAGAGAACATTTTAAAATATATATTTAAAAATTCAAAAAGTCATATTTCTTGGGACATGAAATTTTGTTTAATATTCGTGGGACATCGTGAGTTTTCAGTTGTCGAAATTATCATTTCTCCTTCCTGCAAAAGTCCTGTTGCAAAACGGGGGATTTCAATTTTCGTATTTTACCGTGCGGATGCGGCGAAGTGATTTTTAGCAAGGACAACGACAATTTCGGCAATAAGCAAACATTTGCTAAGCCAGACAAACAAAACGGATAGATGGATGGCAGGTATGCAGACGAACTCTTGCATTTAGCAGCCTCGAGCGGCAATTAAACACAGTTTGGTAGTGTCTCTGGCATTTGAGTGTCTGCTTGGCAAAATATTTAATTAAAAAGCAAGTCGGTTATGTTTTCGTCTCTCCTTGATATTTGCAATTGTGTATGGGTGACAACCTGTGCGAATATGAGTTGCCATCAGTGGCTTACGAAGGAGCTTTTGGGGTTAGGATAACCCACAAAATATTGGTTTAATCTCGAAATATAACATCATTAATAAATGAAAATATTATATGAATTTATATAATTATTTATAGTATTGCAACTCTCACCATCTCAAATGATAGATGTTTGTGTAAAATGAATTGATTCAGAAAATATTACTCATACGACACGTAAGCCTGTTAGAATTTGGTTCACCAAAATCGTTCCTTTTCAAATTTCATAAATTTTTGCATTTTTAATCGATTGAAATAAAGTTTTAGGCCAAAAAATGGTATACTCTTATGTATCAATCAAAAGCAAAATAAATGTACAATTAAAAACCCTTTAGAAGAGTCCTGCATACGCCACTGGCTGCCATTGTCTGTCTGGCCTCTTCTCTCTGTTTGCCTGCTAATGAGTTTTCGCAGCAGCACCACACTAGTCGTCGCCCTTGCACACCCACAGCCCCAAAAAGGCACTTGCATCATGATACTGTTGAAAATTTTTGACACATGTTTACCCACTCTATCCCATTCTATCCCCCTCTTTCCTTCTCTTTCGATCTCGTATTGTTGTTGCTGCCTTTGTAGTTGCTTTGATGTTGGGTGCCATTTTTGGGTTTTTCTTTTTTCGGGGGATAGCCTTTCAAGTGCAGCAGCGACAACGTCGCCATTGTCATTTGTTTTCGCAAACGTTTCTTTCACACAATGTCAACTTTCAACAAAGGACTTTAATTAAGTCCTTAATGACAGCTTAATTTAGCGCACTTTGCACAGCGCGTATGCCCCAACACGTACACAAACAAAGGCACATGCACACACCCACGTAACCCACAAACACACACGCTGGCTGTCCCGCTCTAACTTACTTGGGGAGTGGGTTTAGTGTTTAGTTTTCCTGGGTTTCGTAATCCTGGGGAAAGCAAAGTTGCGGTCATTTCAATATTTAGTAATGTAAAGTCGAAGGATCACATTTTCGCCTAGAAAAATAGGTCCTTGAATTTTGATCTTAAATTTACAATTTATATAAAAACTTGTTTACTTTATTATTTCTTTTTAATTTGGAACACTTTCGAAAGTTCATAGTGAATTACAATTCAAAAAATTTGTAATAAAATTGAATTATTGAAATTAAATTTGCTGAATTACTTTCCATCCGTTAAGCTCTGATTATTGAACTTCGCCCTGGACTGCCAGGAGGGCCCACCTCTCCTCGATCGCCCTTTAATCCCCTAGGTCCAGTAAATCCAGGCGCTCCATTTGTTCCAGGCTTTCCCGGCGGTCCCCTTGGGCCAGTCAAACCACGGATGCCACACTCATAGAAATTTTTACCTAAATACTAGAAAAGTCGCCCTAAAACCGAGGTCGCCCTAAAACTACGAAAAATTTTCTTATTATACGGGTGGCTAGCCCTAAAGTTACGAAAAATCGCCATGGAAAATATTTTTTAGGGTTAGTTTTTCCAAAAAGGCCAATTTGCCCTGTTTTTTAGGGCGAATTTTCATGAGTCGACTCCAAAAGTAATTCCTTATTTTTAGGGCGAAATCGCCTTAAAACGTTGAACAAAATAGCAAAAAAAATGTTCTGAAATTGCCCTAAAAACAAGGAAGAGTCAAACGAAATTTTAAGACGCAATTAATGGATACATATGTAATACATGTGTGTATGTGTGTGTGGTTGACAGGTCAAAACAAGTGAATGTGTGTGTATATTAGGGCGGACCTTTTTCTATGAATTTTGATGCTGAGCGCATTTGACTTTAGAGAAGTCCACCCTTTTTCTTCTTCTTTGCTACTTTTCGTCCGTTGCAGTGGCAAGGGTGGGGGGTAGAAAGAGTTGCATTGTCTAGACTTTGTCATAATTTTTCGGGCGCTTGGCGGCGAAAGACGTGTTTGTGAAAAAGTGAAAAATGTAAACGCTATTAAAGGACTTGGGAGGCGATTCTTTCTCTGTTTTCTGGTGAGTACATACATATATAATTGTGCAATTTGGATATTAATAACTAATTGAATTTACATATCTGTAACAGAGGAAAATGCAGCTGAAACTTAAAAAGATTTGACTGGAAGCAGCGGTCCAGATGTAGAGTTTTGGAATTGTGGCAGAACAAAGTAAGAACATTAATAAGAGTATACATATATGTATGTGATGCAACAGAATATACACATGTATACAGATGTATATATTTACCAGAAATCTGTATTTATGCACCGGACAAACCGCATTCACAAGTGCATATGCCAAAATAACCCCCAAATTTCTATTGCGTCATTTCGTCAGTAACCGAAATTTGCTTTTGTTGCTTCTTTTTTTCCAGAAGTAGCAGCAAACGCAATCGCAGGCTAAATGAAAATTCTGACTGTTAGTAGTGCATTTTTATATTAATTTCTAACAATTTTATTTCTTGTTTTAGATTGAGAACGTCTTTGAGATCCAGCTTCCGCAAACCACTTTTCGCACTTTTTAAAAGCGAAAGTAAGGGAATAAAAGTGCTCAAATCTTTGGAAAGCCACGCTGAAGGTATGTGCTTTTTCTCTTTTTCTTTTCTCATTCAATAAATAGACTGTTTTTATTTAATAGAGATACAATCAACTTTAATTTGGCTTGCGATCCATTCAGTGTTGGTGCGACAGCAATGACAAAAAAGGACGGCGGGAGCAAGAACGCGAAGCACACCAAGCCGTTTCTTGGTTTGGAAGGCTACTGTTGGGGAACTGCAAACACATCTAAAGGCATTGACGGAAAATTGCTAATCCGGAAAGCCGAAACTGCAACCATTCAGCTGCAACGTGGGAACAAGCCCTTTTTGACCTTGGTGAATTTCCAGTTTACCTATCAGAGGTTTATTTATAGAATGCCAACCTTATTGAAAAGTATTGATGTGTGCTTCAAAATATTTTTTGTTTTAAACCACGACATTTATCCAAAAAATGTTTTATGAAATTCATTTAGAGTCTGATAAGAAAGGTAGAGCTTTATCCGAACTCTTGGAGGATTATAAAACCTTAAAACTGTAACTATTTTAAAGAAACAATCTGTTCATTCCAAAAAAAATATTATTTCTATGCATTCAATTAGAAGTAAAATTTGATAATCAGTACTTATTGTAATAAACCTTAAAAGACCTAAAATTCCCTCCGGCGGAAGCACACAACCTAAAGACCAAAAAATACATTAAGCCAAAACATTATTTTTAAGATCGATGTAATTCTTTTAGCAATAAGAATAAGTAGAAAAGTATGTAAATGTATATAATTAGAAATTGTGTAAATAACAACAAACAAAAATATAAAAAAAAAACAAAAAAAAAACCGGGAAATTTTGGGGAGCACTTTGCTTTTTTTAGGGCAATTCGCCTATAAATCCAGAAAAACGCCCTAAATTTATGAAAATCTGCCTTTAGTTTCAGGATATTTTTTCATATTTCTAGGGCAATTTGCCCTAAAATCCAGAAAAACACCCTAGATTTATGAAAATCTGCCTTTAGTTTAAAGGTATTTTTTCCGATTTCCAGGGCAATTCGCCTATAAGTCCAGAAAAATCGCCCTGGATTTAAAGGAAACTGCCTTTAGTGTAAGGGTCTCATTTCCTATTTTTAGGGCAATTAGCTTTGAAAATAGAAAAATCGCCCTAGATCTACGAAAAATCGCCCTAAATATGTGACAAATTCACCCGTATTTTTAGGGCAATTTGCCCTAATTTTGTTGCCTAGTCGCCATTGACCCCCGTTTTAGGGCGATTTTCCTTGTTTTTAGGGCGATTTTACCGGAAAATTTCTATGAGTGCAGGAATTCCTTGAAGTCCGTCCTTTCCATCGCAACCATCTAAGCCATCTTTACCAGGTGGCCCAGTCGGACCTTCTGGACCCACCGGCCCTGAATCGCCTTTAGAGGCAGACTCGCATTTTAACAAACGTTCTGATAATCTGTAGTTCTGTGCGTCTATTTCGCGCAGTCTTCCACTTATTTCAGCTTGGAACTTCCCAAATTCCTCCTAAGAAATAATGAAAATCATAAATTTGGATTAAAAAATGTGTATAAAAATTTAAAAAAAAAAGCCAAATACTTAAAATTTTTAAATTTATATAAATATTGAAATATTAATACAAAAATAAAAAACTTTTCAATTTGAAATTTTTCATTTTCATTGGACACTCAAACTAGAACCAAAGTAATTTTGGATCCGCCGCTGAACTAGACTGTATTTACCGAATCACATCCATTGCAATTGTGCCATATAAGGAAACACACGAAGAAGAAACAATAAAACGCAAGACTTTTCCTCATTGTATAAAGGGAACTTGGCTGAACCTTAAGCACAGAGGAACTAAACTCAAATGAGATACAGTTGGGTGTCTAATATAAGTCGAGCTTAGAAGTCTTCAACAAATTTGAACCGATAACTTAAGCACTAAAAATATTTTTAACAAAATGTTGCAAAGCTTCCGGTCTGGAACATAATATCTTTAAATTCAACTTTAAAGAATTTCGCACGCGATATGTGACACAAGTTTACTCAAGGGGAAATAGATTTCGGTTATCATGTGTATACCCTGTATTTATGAAGGAATATGGTATTTTATAAACTTCGGTAAATTAAAATGTGTGAAAGAGTAAAACTATAGAACACATGTGTACATAAGTTTGTAATTGCAACCAATAGTTGCTATTTAATGAACTTATTCAATTTATCAATATACAAAATTGTAGGTATCTTATAGTCCGGTCATTTGACTTTCGGCAGAAGATTTGGAGCACACATTGACTTAAGAGGAAGTAGTTGGTAGATAAATGTGTACACCCTGTATTTATGAAAAAAATTGGTACATTATATTGGGTATTAATAGACGGATTTTATATGAAATCGTTTTTAATAAGCTTTAAGACTAATCAAAATTGGAAATTTATAGCAGATCCCTTAAAATCCGACGTCCATTTATAATGTCATGTAAATTAAGTTAAGTAAAAGAGTATCCTAAAGTCAGGTCATTAGCCTATTTTTTAAAAAAACCTCGAAACCCCCGAGTCGGAAAGATTAAAAAGTACCCAAAGATTGCTGAGCTTAGAAGCTATATATGTATAAGCCACTCAACGGCTTGCCATTCGGTTTAAGTATTTCCCTTCCAACGGTTCTTCTAAGTTCGATTTCTTATACAATGAGGATTACTCACATCTTTTTTATTTGGATGGTTTTCTTGCATTACGGATTTGATTCGGTAAATAGCAATTAGAAAAGAAAAGTGAAACGGAGAATCTTAAATATGTTTTTTTGTCATCGTTATTTACCCTTTTTTTTGCATATCTTTTCTTTTTTTTAGTTAGCCGTGGAGCCAGGGAATTTTGAACAACTGAAAGCTGAAACATATGGAAGGCTTCTCGGAATTGAAGCGCTGCAGGACGAATTATTGGAGCGATCAGCGAAGTGGGTCTCCGCTACTAAAGGCGAACAAGGAGCTAAAGGGCCTATGGGTCACATTGGCCACATAGGGTTACCTGGTCGTCATGGCAAAGATGGTTGCGATGGCTCAGAAGGAGCCCCGGGAGTCCTTGGCGATATTGGCCTCGAAGGTCCACGAGGATATCCGGGAGAACCTGGAAAAAGGGGAGGTCCTGGCTTATCTGGATTTCCAGGTGTGGAGGGAGATCGTGGAGATCCTGGTCTACCTGGAACTCATTTTTTCATGTCATTGGAAAATTTGAAGGATTGAAGACTATTCTACGTAAATCATATGATTTTACTATTTAATATCCGAGTGAAATTTCATTTATCAGGCAATTAAAGAAAAGTTCAAACTAATTTTCTTAAAATTATTGAACGAGAAACATAATTTTAGTATTTGACATTTATTAAATTCGAGGAAATATTTAACAATTTAACATTTTAAGAACTAAGGTTCAGGATCACTTTACAATTACAAAACAAATATAATCAGAATTTTGTAAGCACTTGGATCCATTGAAGTATTAACATTTTTTGCTGCAATTTATTGCTTAATACTATTAGTCTGAGGGTGCCAATTGGAAGGGTTGACAGCGTGGGAGAGAGCTTAAATAGCATTTTGATTATGCCAAATAAAACATGAAAACTTGTCTCGCCAAACATTGTTGGTCGCTCAACTTGTCAGCGGCCGGCAACTTTACGTGCATTATATAAAAAGTTGGCCAAATAACCAGCAGCCAACTACACCAACAATCACAAGCTTGGAAAAGCGATAAAAACCATTTGTTGTGGATGTCCTGTTTTGTTATTTGTTGTTTTGCTGCCCGTCCTTTGTTGTTTTGCTGTTGTTGTCCCAAGTTGGCTTACTCAAGTTACTTACAAAGATTTCAATGCACTTTCTTCCTACCAACTTGTTCGCACAGAAAGCCAAAAAGCCAAAGGAAATAAAAAAGAAAAGAAGCTGGACTGGCCGACAAGAAAAGCAACAACAACCACAGTAGGACCAGCCTACTGCGAATTTATTCCATCACCTAAAATAGCACTGATTATCAATGATAAGTTATCATCAGACTTTACATCCAAACCTAGTTAATAAAATATATATTTTTTCAAAAATTTTTTTGTAACGTTTTTTAGCTACTTTTGAAATTCAAATACTTTATTCTAAAATCCTTTGATTTTTAAGGAGCTTAAGACTATATTGGTTTTATTTTTAAATTTTTATCCAGTGATCGGAAGGAAGTATATATTTTTATGGCCAAATGACACTTGTTTTAATTTTGATTTACTTGCTGGATTTTTGGGAACTTATATGTGGATATTAATTTATAAAATGATGCTAAGCTGTTGTTAATGCTGTCATGACTTTTTATACCCGTTACTCGTAGAGTAAAAGGGTATACTAGATTCGTGCAAAAGTATGTAACAGCTAGAAGGAAGCGTTTCCGACCCCATAAAGTATATATATTCTTGATCAGGATCACTAGCCGAGTCGATCTAGCCATGTCCGTCTGTCCGTCTGTCTGTCCGTCTGTCTGTCTGTCTGTCTGTCTGTCTGTCTGTCTGTCTGTCTGTATGAACGCTGAGATCTCAGAAACTACAAAAGCTAGAAGGTTGAGATTCCCACACATATTCTTTGGCTTCCTACGCAGCGCAAGTTTATTTTAGCCGAGCGCCACGCCCCCTCTAACGCCCACAATCGCCCACTAACGATTTTAAAATGGGTCCTGCGCCCACATCTTTAAAAATTTCCGAGAAGTATAAATGCAATTTTGTTGTGTATATTTATACCTATCGAAATGTAGAAGACATTTTTCAAATCGGACCATTCATTAAAAAGTTATACGATTTATAAATTGTCAACATCTATCTATCTCCCTCGCACTCCCTTTAGCTGAGTTACGATTATTAGTCGGTACACCAACCAGACACAGCGTTCGCACTCCCTTTAGCGGAGTGACGGGTATTAGATAGTCGGGACACCAACCCGACTATAGCGTTCTCTCTTGTTTTTAATAAATCCTAACAGTTAATCGAAACTTAATAATTAATTAATAATAATCAAAAATAATTAATCAAAAACTTGTAACGCTAGGATACAATAAACAAATAAATTAAATATGAGTCTTTAGCTCGTAGGATATAAATGTAGTTGCTTTTTAGCAACATGATATAATAGTATTTAAACTATTTTAATCGACACAAAAAAAAAGTAATCCTTAAATCAGAACCTTTTTATTTACTTTCATTTAAAAAGGTTTGATTTTTATTTTGATATTTTCTGGTTCCTGCTACTAAGTTTCGACTGTGGGAAAGCAGTAGCATCAGCGGCGTGGCGAACAAGAACAAGAACGATTTGACTTCTGGAAACTGTCAGAGCAAGCAAATGGCACTAAATATTAAGTTTGCCGTTGGAACTTGACCAGAAAAAGTAAGCTACGACGAAAACTTGGCCGGCCAGAACTAATGAAAGCTTTCTGCAAGTGTGAGGAGTGTGTGCCTGTGTGTTTGGGCTAAAAGTTTTTGCCTTTTGGCTCGACCACAGAATTTCTCATGAGTTGGCGCTGCGGCTGCGGCTGCACTTGTTTCAAGTTCAATTAATTTTAAGTGCGGCAGCAATTGTGTTGCACATTGTAGTTCCTTTCCTCTGCTCGTTTGTTTACTGCGACTCTCGATGTGTTTTTCCTTGTTCTTTGCCTTGGCGGCCCAAGTTGCAGGTTTTGCCTTTTTACAGGATTCAACTTGGGCCTGACATGCAATGTCAGCGCCCGTGTTTATGCCATAAATAATGCAGCATATTTTGCATAATGACAAGTTATCGCACACAAAACATAATTGTATGTATTTGTGTTGCATAGTTGATGACGTCACCTTAACTATAGAGGGCAAGGTTTGCCTTTCACCCTACTGTAACCCAAAGGAACCTAAATATTATGCATTCAATTCCTTGAAGTAGTTATTGTTTTGCCTTATCATATGATAAAAAAATATTTTTGGTAAAAATATATAAAAACTTTAAGATCAACCATATTTATCATATATATCATTGCATCAATATTTGTTGGTCCTAAATAATATTTTTTAAAGTATTGGTTTTAAACTCTTGTAGACATCTTTTAGAAATGCAATAAATCCTATTTTAACAAGGTATTTCATATACAAGATTTTTCGCGACAGGTACTAGATTGGCTAAGCCGTAACACAGATCCATAAGATCCGATCTTATATCAACGAAGTGAATGTCGCGCAAGTCAGCTAGATGTAGCATGTCCGGGATTAGTGTCACATCAAGCGGACAGATTGCGGCAAACTGCAGCTACGGAGTGATAACAACAAGAGTTGCAAAACAAGCGGCGAAGGAGCCAGATAAACAAATCTTGTCTAGCCGGAGAAAGCCAGAGGAATAAGGGATGGGATGGGGATTGCAGGATAATAGGGGGCACTCGGATGGAGGACGAGGACGAGGAAGAGACCCAGAGACAGACATTAGACTTCAGACTAGTCAGGAAGTTTACTTGGCAGCTTCAAAGTCTAACTCGTCGGCAAACAAAACTTGCCGGCAGTTTTTCCTCCTCCGCCTTTCTGTTTTTCTGTTTTTTTTTGTTTGTCTCCCTTCCATGTGCATAATTAAAAAAGCATTTTGGACGCCAGCGAGACGGGGTTCAACTACTTTCGGATTTATATTGTGTCACTCAATGCGACTGCGAAATGCAAATGCGAAAATGCAGCAGACGGTGCTGAATTCGTTGCATTTTGAATTGGGGAAAACAAAGCGGACGGCTCTCGCTGCAGAAACCTTTTGAGCGCGTGCAACAGACTAGAAGAAGTGCTTGCCAAACTGGGGACAAAATTAAGCACTTTAAAGTGTGGCCACAC